ATTGTTTTCTGAAAGCCTTAGAGTTAATTTAAGTACGTGAGTATAGGTGGTCGGAATCAAGATCCTCGGTAGTTGGATTAGGGATAATGGTTGTCAGTCGGTCAGTAAACGGTGATTTCTATTTTTCGATAAAATTTTTGAGTGTCTTTGCGATATTGGATAAATATAGCAAATCTATCAAAAATTTAATTAAACGAAATTTGAGTGCTTTTCTACGAATTTTCTTAATGAAAATGTCAGGTTTCAAATGAATTTTTTTCTTTTCGAAAAACTGAAAAATTAAATTTTTGTATATGATACAAAAGTTCATTTTAGACAAAAAAATTAGATAGTGATCTCTAGTCATGGTTCTTTCGACGTAATATCCGGAATTTTGAAAAGCAGCTTGGATAATTCGAAGAATCGGATTCGATCGACAAACCTTATCTACAATTAAAATCGACAGGAAATGATTTTTCTCGAAATTTGATGAATATTATTTCCCAATATTCAAGGTTGACCATAAACTATCGGCTGTCGAACCTGTCAATATACACTGCCATTGTCGTTAATGAAAAGATTCGTTTTTTCAACCATATTTTAATCGTGAATTGATTAATCAATTCAATCAATTAAGAACCATCGAAGAAATAGTCACGGAAACATTGTGAATACATCAAAACAGTAATTATTTAAGGAGAAATCGTCGTAAAATAGGAACGACTGCGTAGCATAGTGGGTCATTGATTGTAATTTATGGATGATCTGATTAAATTGTCAATTTTAACGACCGAGGAAGTGATGGTTGGGCCATTATAACAGAAAAACGCGCAATTCGAGTGACTTCTCAAAAGAACGGAAGATGTTATACTTATCCTAATGATTTCCTGGTAGCATATGTTCAACAATAATTCATCAATTTTTCTTTTGTATTGTCCTGAGAGCTTGTTTCCACTATATAATTATTTCTCAAGATTCAGGATTTGATTTCTCCTTAAAAGTAGTTCTCACTACTTATTTTATAACAATGCATCTTTGGAAAATGTAGTTTCATAAATGAATGACTGACAAAAAACTAGTTCGATATATCAGTGAGAAATACCTTTAAACTATAAAAATTTAACTGTGAATTTTTGTGGATTTTCCAATTTCCACTGCCAAAAAAAGTTCTAATGTGCAATTTCACAGCTACTTCTATTTTTGCTGAACATAAATGATTTAACAGGTGTTACTGGATTTGGAGAACTGATGATATTGTTTGCTGATGATACCATGTATTACTGTGGGATGAAAATCTTCAAGAACTGATTGGCAAGGTGTCTGGTGCCTTTGTAAGGATTCAGGAATGGCTACAATTTCGTAAAGCTCAAACTCAATACTGAAAAAACGAGTATTATGTACTTCAGAACCCAACATTCAACAAAAAATATACCAAGAGAGATAATGATTGATGGAGACAACCTCAGTCTTTTAAAAACAGCAAAATTCCTAGGATTGACACTGGATGAACATCTTACATGGAGACAACATGTAGAAATTACTAACAGAGGCTTAAATTCGGTATGCTATACCATCAGAGTCTTAGAAAAATACCTAAGGGGAGATACATTAAAAACCATATACTTTGCCAACTTCGAATCAAGACTGAGGTATAGTATCATGTTCTATGGATCATATAAAAGTATTAGGATTGACACTGAAATTTTAACAGGGGTGTTTAAAATTAACAAAATTTCAACAGTGTATGCAGTTTACATCCAGGAATGTATGAACTTTGTATACCAAAAGAAACACCTTTTTGGAAGTTACTCAAGACAAAGCAGTTATGAAAATAGAGAGACACAATATATTTATCCTAAACATCACCTTACTATGAGAGAGAAAAGCTGCCACTATTCCTGCTTGAGGATTTTCAATAAACTGCCTAATTCCATCAGAAGGAAAGAAATATCAGAAAGTACAAAAAAGCAATATACGAATTTTTACTTAAGTTAGAGCCATACGATTTGGGTGAATTTTATACTGGTTAAAGTGTAAATTTTTTTTGACACTATTTTCTTTCTACTATTTGTAGTAACTAGAAATAAAGATCTATTCTATTCTATTCTATACTCTTATTTTATGACCAGTTATCAACAAACCGTTTGAATTTAATATCAACTAAAATTCAAACACTTTTGATTTACACTAGGGATGCTCAATGATCATAGATGTTCGACGATCATCGATGTTGAAAGCAAGAACATCTATGTTCTAACATCGATATTTGGTATTCGATAAATATCGAACATCGATGTTAACGGAATCTATATCGATGTTAACTCACGGCCTCATGCACAACCAATAGGGATGCTCGATGATCATCGATGTTGAAAGCAAGAACATCGATGTTCGGTATTCGATAATATCAAACATCGATGTTAACGGAATCGATATCGATGTTAACTCACGGCCTCACGCACAACCAATAGGGATGCTCGATGATCATCGATGTTGAAAGCAAGAACATCGACGTTTTTACATCGATGTTCGGTATTCGATAAATATCAAACATCGATATTTTTTGAATATCGAACATCCCTACTTTACACTTTTATTGATAACATAGCATGACGCGTTTCGTCCTTGCAAACGACTTCTTCAGATGCTTACAGAATAATGACACAGATAATGATACAGAATAATGACAGTATACAGAGATACAGACATAGAACACACAGATGACACAGAATGATGATACAGAATAATAACAGAATTACAGATTGAATTATTCTGTAAGCATCTGAAGAAGTCGTTTGTAACGACGAAACGCGTCATGCTATGTAGTTAATAAAGTGTAAATCATAAGTTCAAGTGTTTGAATTTAAGTTTATATTCAATTATAATGGATTTACATCAAGTAAACGCCAACACTATCAAATATTTAAAACATAATCATTTGTTCAGGAAACTCAACTACCGCAAATTATCAGAAACTAAATTACATCTTTAATTTGAAGATAGTAACATAGAGTGTTTCATTTATGGCAAAAACACTGAAAATAGCTTATTTTACCCTCATAGACTATAGGTTCATAGCAAATTAAAGATTTAGTCTGAAGACCACATTACTGAAGCGTCAAGAATCACTCTGTTTAGACATGTTGCTTGTATATTCCGTTCTCATTTGAATTTGACGAATATAGTTACGCCATGTTACCAATATTTCAATCGCAATGAATTTTCTTTTTCAAATTTTATAATTAAGTAAGAATGAAATCGCTCATTTACATCATTACGAATGGCTGTCATCGGAGTTCATCAAATATCATTTCTTTAAGCGAAACAAACGACACGAAAACCTCTTACTGGTTATAAGGCCTTGCTGCTAGCAGTGGATCTTGAATAAGTATTGAATAAACAAAATGAGAATGCAAAAATGGCTGGTATTTCCTCTAATAACTCGAACATTAGTAACGGAATTTTTGAATTCAATTGTAATATTTATTTGACGCTGAATTTTATCTGAAAAATAACATAGGACCATAGAAATATTAAGAATTGATTTTCAATTATGCCACAATGAATGTTGGAAATTTAGGAAGGAACACATTCATTTTATGATTAAATTATTATGTACCTAACACACCGAAGGAATTTGCTTGCAGAAATGTGATGATCGAGATTCAACTTCTTTAAAAGTCATAAAGAAGTGTATTTATTATTAGAATAAGTATTCATTGCACATTAATAAATAAAATATATCGAAATATTTCAATAAAATCTACACAAATGTTGTCAACGAGAACGAACCTATCACTTTCGAGAGTGAATATTAAGTGCGCTTCGAAAAAATCATCGATCTTGTTGAATGATAATAGAATACAATTGTTTAATCATTATTGTGAATCATCAGTCCGTATCAAGAATCGAAGACTTTCAAAACAACAAAAGATCCTATATCCGAATGAGGAAAACAACAATTTGTGAAAATTCACGTGAGCTCCCTCTATCGAAAAAAGATGAATAATCTCTCCCTAGCGTTCTAGTTTCCTACTCATGAACACATTAGTGCGAGTACGTGAGGCTTTGTGGACATTTCGTTCGACCACAGAAATTTGTCTGCAATGTGTAAGAATGGTCCAAGCCTAATCGCTCCAAATCACGCCTCGGCAGGCAAAAGGATAGCCAGTTTAAAAATTCACGAATCATTCATAATAGTAAATACTGAGACCCTTGGTCGAAATATTGAAAAATTTCAAATAAAACTTTCACGGAACTGTCTACACAACTCGAAGCTCTGAGATCGTAAAAGATTATTATCGTTAAGCTACTCTCAGATCTTGACCGTCGTAAAAGTCACATTTCAGTAGGAAATAATAAAATTTCCTTTGAATATAACTTTTATATATTTTTTTTTTAAATTTTGTGATCGTAATATTTTATTCAATACAGGTTACTTTGTAGGTGTATTATTCTGTAGGTATACGAAGTAGACTCAATAATAGATAAATATAAGAGGCTTTTTCATTATGATAAATGGTTGACGTTCATAAATTGATAATAATAATTATTTGAGAATTCTCTTGTTCTATTTGAAATGTTCTTGTTGGCATTTCGAAGCCTAAAACAACTTCTTTTTGTACAGCGAACGTTGTCGCCGAAATATTGCCGCTTTTTGGGAAACCAATCACTCAATAAGAGCGTATATTTACATTTAGGAGATCCACTATGAACTTACTATGATATTCAGTACATAAATCTTTAGATAGCTTGTAGGATATAATATGATTCATGCATGAATTATTCAGCATGGTTCCTAAAATCATGACAAAAAGTAACACTGACATCAAACTGAACTGAATCTTTTCAGTAAATCAACTCTCCTGCCGAAAATCTCCTGAAGTGTTCTCCTCTCTGGAGTAACAAAATGAGGAAAATTGAGATGAGCGAAAAAAATATTGAATGTAGATATAACTTCATAAAAGAAAAGAAAGACAAAACATATTTTCTTCTCTGAAGTAACAAAATGAGAATAAGTTGTCTCAATGGCGTAGTGGGAGAGCGACGGACTCTCACTAGGGAGATTGGGTTCGAATCCCGGATGAGACATGAACGTTTGAGTTTGTAACATGAGTTGCAGCGGTTATATAAATAAATGATATAATGGTATACATATCAATAAATGCTGTAATCTCCAAAGATGATGAACCCAAAATATATATATATATATATATATATATATATAATATATATATATATATATATATATATATATATATAAGTCCTTTTGGTAACTCCATTACAAATATTGGGGCGAGCAAAATAATTGGGGTTACTCAATATAAATCTTATTGAGTGATTTATTTTCGATGGCGGCAAGAATTTGTAAATATTGAACATATTCTTCTAATAGAGAGCGGCAATAATATGAGAATATTTGTTCAAACATGTTTCAGAATTTTTGTTTAACCTAGTGTTTAAATAAATCTCGTAATCAGATGTAAAAATGTTAACGATATTGTAAGACTCCTTCAAACATAGCAACGAGTTGGTTCGGTTTGTTTAATATCCAAAGCAAATAGAGGAATATTGCCTGTTGTTGACACAAACGAACAAATATATTTTCCTTTTCATATTGAACAGCATAAACAAGAATAAGTCCAACGATGTTTGTTCAATTCATTTGATTGGAAATAATTATTTTGGAAAGTTCAATTATTATACCTACAGTTGAAAATATTTATTCTGGCGCTCAGAAAGCCAATTTTTGTTGGTTATTGAGCAATATCTTGGTATAACTATAGTTACTTTTTTATAGAATTTATCAAAAAATTGTATTGAAAATAGAAGATGCAGTTAAAATTACTCAAATCTTTATTTAACAGAATTTCAAGATCGATACGAATTCAAATGTTGTAATATGAACAAAAGGAGAAATAGATTATCGTCTTTTTTATTATAACTGAAAATTTTTTAATATAATTTGAATTATAATCATTTTAATAAGTACCTATGCAATGTTTCAAATAAAACCGAAATATTAATTTTTCTGAGATTCGCGATTGCTCTCCTATCTTGACATTTTCAATGGAATTCATTAATATTGAATGTTTTGAAATGATCAAGTAAGTACCTAGGTATTGAAATGTCTCGTTAAATTGAATGCATTTTATGAAAGAACTGTTTAATTTTTTAACCTTTTTTATAGCAAATCGTTTATTTCAGAATCAATTTCATAGCTTATTTGTGACATTAAATCTCTTTTTGTATATGGAGGATACCACAAATATTATCAAATACAGGAAACAAATTTAATGTACCTTCACTCTGAGTGTTCTCAATAATCAGCTGATAAACGTATGCTATTTGCCTTTGTGTAATTCGCAAAATGTTATGATTAACTCCCTTAAGCCATTGCCCTAAAAAAGTATTTTGAAATAATTAAATAATTGCGACAAAGGACCACAAGTAGCCGAAGTAGCATTTTTCGACTTTGATGTCGCATTTTATATTTATTTTACTCTGGCAATGTATTTCGTTTCGCAATAACTACTTATGTTTGATTAATTATTCCATAAAACATTTTGGAAAAGACATGGAAAGAAAAAACACACGTAAAACTTATACTTAAAAAAACTATACTTAAAAAATTTGATTTTTACTAACTACGTCCTTCATCACAAAAATTATGAATTGATTTTCAGTAGGATTGCATTTTGAGTCACACGATCGCCTTTCTTTGATGTGATGTATGTAAAGAACTACAACAGCTAAGGATTTCTTTCTCATTCGTTAGTAGAAGTAAATGTGTAAGTAAGTAGTAGAACTTAAAATGCTCCGTTTTATTTCAAATGGTTTAACTTGGAAATGGTATGCAATTTTTGACATTTTGAAAGTACTCAATAGATATAAAAAGTTATTTGAATTAATTAATTTGAATTTAGAAAAGTCATATGACGCGTAAAATTGTATTACTCTTTGAGTTTTGAAACTGACAGTGAGTTAAAATGTGAAGGTATTTATTTTCTCAAATCAACTTGTAAGATTTCAACTGATAATATGAGTCAAACCAATAGTTGAACAATATCCACTTTGACCAACTTATATTCTTAAACGTGTCAAACTCGTACTTATAGGTATTAGGTGTTAACTTCAAATTTAAATCGATAATTAATTAGTTAATCGCTGTTGATACAAGATGATATACTTATTAAATATTCTGAAAATATTTGTTCTAGTAATTAAATAGTCATTAGTATTTTTGAATTATTCCATATATCTTATACTTTTCACTCCTAAATTTAATCTATGAAAAAAATCTCATTACATAAATTTCGCAGCCCTCTTGACGACTGTTTTGTATTATAAAAAATTTACAAGGTAATGAAAAAGATAGATTTAGGGTTATTGCTGGTTTCGGTTATAAGTTTTCAGAGAGTTTTATGGAGATGGAACTGTCAGGGAACACATTTTATTGTACGTCAGAACCTTTTTTTAGGAAGGTTACGGCATATTTGGAAATTATAGCAACTGATTGTATCGAAGATGATTCCCATTTTTTCTTGTTGAAATGTCAAATGTGGATGGCATGTATAACATTTGTCTGACGATTCCGGCGGATAAACTTAAATAATTGATTTTGATGAAGATAATAATTAAATGTTATATATTTATGTTTGAGTCATTTGAGACTTGATTCTCAAAATTGATGGCGACGAAGTGAGTTGAAACAAGATAAAAAAATTCAATAGTAATTTCACATTTCAATCGTTATTATTAAGTATTGAGGCGATAAAACAATTTCATCAAGTATGTGTTTAATGTTTATTGATATTTGAATATTTATTCAATAATGATTTTTGTTATGTACTTAATGTTGAAAAATTAAACTGGCAACGAATATCCTTTTTTCTAGATTTACACACTTTTATCAAACAGAATCTATAAAACAGTGTTTTCGTTCCAATTTCAATTTTGAGATGGATTTACATCAAGTAACTTCCGTAAACATTGCAACTTAATTGTTGCTCTTTTATACCTACTATTATTATATCGGTTTAATATCAAACGATAAATAAGAGACTTTGTTATATAATAATAAAACTTCGCAGTTATTTCATTTGTTCTGATATAAATGGAGTAGTAGAATCTTGAAGTTGAAGATTTTAAGTGTTCAACTAATTAAGCTCTCGAAATATCATACAAATACTCCAATTGAAGAAATTAGTATAAAACTTTCAATAATATCTGAGTTTTATTTCATTTGTTATTTCCAAATTTTTTATTTAAATCCTTTTTTTGCGAAATGAAAACACGAATATTATGTTCTTGGCAATGTTTTCTTCTACAGTAAAATGATAAAATTATCAATTGATTCCTGTAAACACTCCTTAGTGATTGAAGCTAACTAAGGTTGAGAAAATCAAAGAGGCGGACACAATTACCTGGAATTCAATTCGTATTTGAATACTTCTTAGATCGGTATAATTGTTATTCGATGTTGTTAAAGAAACTCAACGGATATTTTACAATAGGAGAGTAAAAGTACATCGGAATGGAAGAGTAATTCACTCTGTTATTCCACAGTTGAACCAATGTTGCAATAACTATTTATAAGTTACTGATATTTAATTGTGTTACTGTTTTTTGTCTCATGGCTCAAATATTGTCATTGCAAATAGTTAAAAAACCAATTTCGGTGATTTATAAATGGGAAAAGAGCGAAGGCAACTTTCAATAAAATCTTAAATATCATCAAAATTTCCCGAATTACCGAACTAAAAATATACCTGCCAGTAGGTATATAATAGAGTAGGTATCTATAATATTTATTTTTCTTGCTTCATATATTAGTTACTATATTTAGCAATAACGTAAATTTCGAAACGTGCATTGTATATTAAATTGATGAACGTACTCATATACACATAATTTGTTTCATATTATAACAAATTTCATTGATATTTATTGATACTAAAATGAACTATGAAGCATTCTATTTTTGTAAAGAGGATTGGTATTTCTTTTTTTACTCTTGGAAACAATAGTCATTCATCTTTCGAGTTAAAGAATAACTTCACAGGCAACCATGTCGACCAATTATGAACTTTCCATTCTCGTATCGAACAACCCAACCCCGAAAAGTATACCTAGAAATACCCAGCTGTTCTTTACTCCCCACTGGAGGACCAGTCAATTATTTATAACAAAACTCCTCCACGAGAACGTGAGTGCGACGCATTCCGAACCTGACAAATCGTGAGTAACCAAAAAAATACAGAGAAAGCCATCGGCGTTAAATGCAACAATAAATAATACAAATTAAACGAATTCGAAAAGCATTTGCCTGAGGAACGGGTTATAAAATTATTCGAAAACGACCGAGACTGGTAGTCTCAGCCTTGTTTAACATATGTCAGAATACTCCGGGATCGGACTAAATTTACATATACCAAACAGAAACGGCGTTAAGGCCGCCTTGGTTTACTTACATGCCAGTCCGTGTTCGTCACAATCGCCAAGAAAAATGTTCATAATTTGAATAAAATCCTAGTGAAATGAACTTGGACACTACGTGTATTTGTCGTCTGAATAGATCGATTCGCACTTGATTATTTGGTTGTATACTTTCTCGATTCGTTCGTTCAGTACCTTCACACTTTTGTCCGGCAATGTCGGCAATATGTCTTTCACCGTTGCACTATTTTGTTTTCGAAACTATCTCTCAATAACGTTCCAATATTGCCCTTTTTCCTCAGCTGCCTGATAATGTCAGCCGTTTGTTTCCTAAACATACACAGGTTTTCAAGCAGAACGGAGTGATACACCTCGTACTTCTTCAGCAGCCTGTAGCCGTGCAGCAAACCTGATTCATTATCAAGAAAAAGGAGCAAGTCGCTATCCGACTTTTTGGCTAAGTTATGTGCAGGCGCGTCCATTATGTTGGCGTTCCACTGATAATTATAAAGATTATTCACAATCCTATCCAAATTCGCAGTCAGGTAATCGAATATAATCAGGTCGGACCATTGTGCCAATTCGACGAGGGTTTTTGTCAGGTCCTCCTTTTCTAATACATCGTTCTTGGTCATATTTAGCACGTCGAACTT